CTTTTAATATGGATTTTACAGAATTGCCTCTGAGGTGGCCTTCTATTTAGGGTGCCCTTCTAATATAGGGTGGCCTTCTATTTTGGGGGGGGGGTTTACAATCATCACTTTTTTCCACATAAAATCTGAAATACTTTGCACAATGCACACAATAAAGAAAATGATTATAAAAGCGAGATTAAACGGCATTTCAAATCAGGCTGTTGATGCCTTTGAGTAAAAATTGTATGAGTCACATGATACCCGATTGATGTTTTAAAAGTAAAAATCCTTCCTTAAATATGGGTGATACATACAGGAAAGTTTTTACACACTTATTTTGCTATTGTAGAATTTCAAAACGATGTTCTTTGTCGTTTTACTTCTACTTGGTTGTTCAAGTAAAATCTGGTGTGCAGGTGATGTTGAACCACAATTAAAAACTTTGGAAGATTTAAAAGTATCAGTGACCGAACTAACACTCGAAGAAAAGTTGGCACATAACATCACATCTAACAGTTACGTGTTCGATTTTGATAATGCGACGGTGGGCGTGTCAACAGGCAAAGGAGGACGAACTGTAGCTGCAAATGTATGTATTGTAATCATAATTTAAATCATATATTAGAAATTCCATGTTTTATTCATAGGCTCGTAATTTTCCCGCTCTCATAAATCATGGCGTAGCAATGACGGTTGGATACATTGGTCCATGTGGTCTCAATCTACCACATTTTCATCCACGTGCAAGCGGAATTCTTTACGTTGTCCATGGTAAATTTGAAATAGGATTCTATCAGGAAAATAGCGCCAAATTTATTACAAACATCGTTAAAAAAGGACAAGCAACTGTATTTCCTAAAGGCGCTGTACATTATGAACAGAATTTAGGATGCGAACCAGCACAATTTGTTGCAGCCTATAACAATGAAGATCCCGGCACATTGACAGTCATTAATAGTTTAAAACAAGTATCAGCCAATATTGTTAGTGCATCTCTGGGAGATATTCCCGATAACGAATTTGAAGCATTACTCAAACGTTTACCGGTAAATCCAGCATTGGGCGTTGATGAATGTTTGATCAGATGTGGATTGAAAAGTGCTGGTCGCAAGAAAAGCGTGGCTAGATCGGTGAAAAAATAATATGTGATCACTAGAAAAAAACAAAAATTTAGAATGATTCAATTTGACAATTATTATTTTATATTTGTTTCATAATAGAATAAAATTATAATTTTTTTAATATTTCTCAATTAAATAAAACGTTAAATTCAACTAAAACACTGTAAAATTGCCCAATTAATCCATATTACTTCATGCCTTATCAGTAGATGTCGAAACTGAAAAATGTTCTGCAAAAAGTAGAATGCTATTGTAACATAAGAGAGTAATGGTACGATACACTTACGAACGATACTCTTACGTACAAACGACATATTCTGTTTGCGATGAATGGATAAAAAGATCTGAAATTTAATGAAATAAGTTTGAACAGGTCCGTCGAAGTTTGTTTTTCAACAATCATCTGATTCAACATCTATAGTTTATTTCACCAAAGTACTACGATAAAAAAAATAAAATAGAAATTTAGTTCAAAACGTTATTTAAGAAAATCACTCAATGAAAACTTATTTTTCGAGTCCATTAAGCGAAATTAAATATGGAAAACTTAATTTTGAGTCTCAATTTCATATGGATTCAATTGATTAAAAAAATAGAAAGAAAGATAAGCATCTACCACAATCCGTTATATGATAAACACCAGAACAGAAGAATATAAGTTTTCTATTTTTATCGAACGTTCATTTGTCATATGGGGCAAAGAGAAGTAAATTTATTTCATACTCCGCAAACTTTTCGAGTTAAACTGAAACACTGAATCTAAAAATATCTATATTCTGTTAATCTCAAGATTAACGACAGTGAACTTCATAAAGTCAACTCGTCTTGGCCAAATGTTACGGAATTTCATTTTTTCGTCTTATGTGCCGTTTATCTCAGCAAAGACGTAACAATTTATCAATGAAATTTATACCAATGATGGATATTAGGGAGGTCTACTACCAAATATAATTTGAGCTTAATTGAACAAGCTGATCAAAAGTTATAGTCAAAATAGAGGTCATTACGGAATTTCAAAATATGGAAGTGTTTTTCGGCGTATCTTAGTAAAATGTAAATTATTCGGCCTTAAATTAATTTTAAAATAATTGCATAATTACCAAATTAAAGCTCACAGTTTGGGCTATCGGAATCGCTACTGACTTTTGCTTCAATTAGTTCCCTAGCAGAGGGAATCAAATAAAAGTAACCGTTACGGAATTTCACCGTTTTTTACTCTTCTTTGCAGATAGATGATCTGGTATATATTTCTTCTGTTACAGAACTACAGAGTGTTGCATAACCTTTTTCCAGGGGGATAACGACGTGATTTTAAAGTAGGTACCTAATGAATTTTATACCAAATGAAAGCCTGTAAAAAACTGGATCTAGGACTATAGTTAGCAATTCAATAGATGCAGATAGTCAATCCAAATTTTAGACGTATAAAGTATGCACTATTTTTTTTTTTTTCTTAATTAATGTGGGTTATCATAGATAATGGTGCATCATGGGATGGAACTTATTATCGACACCGTATTTTGACAGAAGAAGTAATTCCATTCCTTTCGAACTCCAGAAATGTAGTAGATCCAGCAGAAGTCGTTTATCTTCATGACAACGCTCCGTGTCACAAAGCAAATGGTACTCAGCAATTGCTCAAAAACTCTGGAATCAATTTCTTTGATCGAACAGAATGGCCAGGCAGTTCTCCAGACCTGAATGTGTTGGAAAATGTTGGATCAATTCTAATGGACAAAGTAGAAAGTCTGATGACCAGCGAACGCGGTCCGACAAATTCTTCAGTCGTTTTGCTTGAACATCTTCAAAATGTTCTTCATGAACTTGAAAATGAAAAAGAACTTTTCGAAAGTCTATTGAAATCGTATCCTCAGCGATTAAAAGCTGTACGTGAAGCCAACGGCGGTCACACTAGATATTGATGTATAATTTCTATTCAAATCAAATAAAAGGTTCACTTGATATATCATTTGTAACTGAACCACATTTACTTGATACTATATTTTCTTCACAAGAAAGTAACCACAATCTTGTACATTTATAACTTGGATTGACTATCTGCATCTATTGAATTGTTAACTAGAGTCCTAGATCCAGTTTTTTACAGGCTTTCATTTGGTATAAAATTCATTAGGCACCTACTTTAAAATCACGTCGTCAAAACAAATGAGTCCTTTGGTAGAGAATTTGATTCTCTATCCGACAGTATAGTTTTCAGAATTTTTTGAAAAAAATATCTAGGTCAGAAATTTTAATTTTAGATTTAATTTAGTCACTTCCTCTAATGACACGTTTTCAAAATATTAGTCATAGTTACTGTATTAAACATTTGATATCATCGTTCAGTTACTGATATTTTCCTGCTTTTCGGTTTGTTATAACTTAAATATTCAATTTTTTTTCTAACTAGTTAGTTTTGACATTGAAGTTCTGATAAGCTTGTGCATTCAGTATGAAGAAAATTTGTATAAACACGCACATATAAACATACTGTAAAGGTTATTGTGTACTATCACAGATGCGTGAGAGTGAAAGTGATATTAAATGACAGAAAAATAAAAAATAAAAGAAGAAAACATATGGAAGAGAAAACTGTATAAGAATCTTACTATTCTGCCTTTTCTGTTTGCTGTTGGGCTTAATCAAGCGTGACGAGATTTCATTTTTTCGAATTCAGTGATTTATAACTCGCGAATGGTGAAACCAAACCTTCTGAAATTTTTTTGTCTTAAATAGAAAACTGTGAGTTCTACTATCAAAAAAAATTCATTGGAATTAGTTGCACCATACAAAAGTTATTAGAAAAATAGAGGCCATGACGGAATTTTAAAAAAATGAAATTTGTTTTAAACGTTCAGAGACTTTCACATTTTTCTTCAGATTGAACAGTAGTACAATAAAATGTTTTATGTGAAAATTTGTGGTAGATTGTGGTGGATTATGCATGTCTATATTTCATTATATATTCATCAATTGAATCCATATGAAATTGAGACTCAAAATTAAGTTTTCCATATTTAATTTCGCTTAATGGACTCGAAAAATGAGGTTTCATTGAGTGATTTTCTTGAATAACGTTTTGAACTAAATTTCTATTTTGTTATTTTTATCGTAGTACTCTGGTGAAATAAACTGTAGATGTTGAATCAGATGATTGTTGAAAAACAAACTTCGACGGACCTGTTCAAACTTATTTCATTAAAATTGAGGTCTTTCTATCCGTTCATCGCAAATAGAATATGTCGTTTGTACGTAGGGCCCTAAGAATATCTTTCGGAAGTGTATCGTAACATTACTAAACGCCGAATTGTTCTGCACACCATCCATTTCAACATACAGTGTGGATGGTTGCGACAAGAATAGCTCGAGAATGGAACGAGATATCGAGATCGGGTTTTTGCCATCGTGTAGCCATGATCGGAGCACATAATAATATACAGAAAACAAACTTTTTTCGTGGGTCTTTGGTGGATTTCTAAGTGGATCTCTGGGAAACCGCCATGCGGATCAAGGACGCCGCGATGAACTTTTGATTTCCACAAGTGGTCTGGAACCAAAAAACTGTTCTCGACAATTGTATTTTGGCAAAAACAATACACGCACACCGTAACGATTTCCTAACTTCTCCACCTTGCTGATCTATAAGTAGCAAAAATTTAAATCCAAAGGCCGAAACTTAGCAAAACGCCACGAGGAACTTACAGTTTGAAAGGCTGGATGTTTTCCCAACTCTTTTCTTAGCTCGTCGACCGTCATCTTTTTCGACACTTTCAATCCGAGTTCTTTTCCGAGAACTACCATTCCCTTACTTTCTCCCTTCTTGCTGCCACGCGTATAGAAACAGTTCAAAGTTTGAAGTTTGTCCTGGTCATCGAGCCACTCTATTGTCTGTACCGGGCAACGTGTTCCTTCTTTTTTAGAAAAATCAGTGACCGAATAATCTTTTTTCGAATGTGAGGTGGCGTTGTCCACTATAATTTCAATGTG